TTTTCAATACAGACCCCCCCCCTCTAAAATCAATTCTCTCCTGGAGATCGTCTTCGTGAGCCTCTCATGATTTCAGGATAGTTGAAACCCTCTTGAACATTCAGAAAGAGTGAATATGAAATTCTAGTCACGAAAGGTGTTCTGTGAAGCACGTCAATTCTCTCCTGGGGAGCGTCTTCGTGAGCCTCTTATGGTTTCAGGATAGTTCAAATCCTATGATGTTCCGATTCAATGCCCACCGATGATCTGAGCCATGGGGCAAGTTTGTTTTCCTAAGAATCTTTTTTGAACATTTCGAGAGCACATGTTTGAACATTTAAAGTGCATATGAACATATATGTACGAAAGGTCGCCTCCGAGGGGATAAATCACCATGTCGAACATTGCATTTTTGTTCCTGCCTCTCGCGTTCTTTTCTCTTCCCGCTGTCCTACCTTTCGTGTCTCCCTCCTCTCAAGTGTTTGAAACACTAGAGACCAAAACGAACTTATATCTTACTGTGGATTCTGAGAGTTTGAACATGGGCCGATAGAGGCCGCACGTGCCTCTCTACCGAAGTTGGGCATGTTTGGTGGGTCTCCACCTCTGCGGTCTTTCGAGGAACGGTTCCAAGCCCCGGTTTTGCGGGGTCGCTCTTCAACAAAAAAAAGCACTGGAATTCGTGGTCGGAGTGGTTCTCACATGTTCCAACTCCCAACACCTCCAAGTACCTCCACAGAAGGTATTTGGATCCTCACACCCCAAACACCTTCTCAGAAGGTACGACTGGAGGCCTAGGGGTCTCCAACAGGCGAGGGTAGGCAAGGCTGGCTCCTTGAGGCTCCTGGCTTTGGGATTCGGCCAAAGGTGCATCTTCAGCCCTCTTGCGGTGCATCTTGCGCCCCCCCCGCAGTACTGTGGAGCTTTTCTCTTGAACAGTGAAGCTCTGACGAGCTGGGGATGCAGCCCGAGCTCCGAGCTCCAACCAACTGGGACGGGAAAGGGGACGACTCCGCACTAGTACAGAAGGTGATGTCAAGTGTTATAACCTGTTCTTTTTGTCCACCACAAGCTGAGTTGGGTTAGTCTTGATTTCACATGCTGTGGGGACATGGACACGCTGGCGGGATGTGGATGACGATGTCCACCATGTTACGGCTCCACCATAGGCCAGGCTCGGCCACTCGGAGCTCGGGGATCACATGCTGTGGGGAATGCGCTTGCTCGTTTTGCCGAGTGGTTGAAGGGAAGTGATTTGAATGCAAAAGAACTCTCCCTCAAACTCCTCATGGTGGAAGTGAAGATCCGAAGCGGCGCCATGCCATCGACTCAGTTCAGAGTCGACTTGAAAGTCTGTCAGTCTGGCGACTTCCGAACGGAGACATGTCTGAACTGACCAGGGCCCCAAGAGCTGTCAGGTTTCACAAGCAAAGAACGGTTTTTATGGAACAAGCTAGGCCTTTCTTTACTAACCATCATCGTACACTGTTACAGGTAATAGGATGGACCCAATCTATTCCTGAACCAGGGGACTTGCTTCTGTTCGTGTAAAGGGGACAAAGACCCTTGATGAACCACAGCAAGTGTATACAAGACGCTTGGTTCCATCTTTGTCGCTGGTACCGCCAGCGATGGAACATCATCGTCCACATCATCCCCTTTCGAGCTACGACGCAGAAGGTGGCCCAAATTTAGCCACTTCCTGAGCAGATTATTCATTCAATGCTCCGAACCTTCCAACTGTACTCTCACAAGATCCGTTGTTTGCCGCAAAAGTTATGCACAAAGATCTGGTGCTTTGATCGGTTCTTCACCCTGCCACCCATGAAAAGCTGCTATAAAACAGCTGGCAAATCCAGGCGGAGTTCTTGGGGGATGTCCGGCTGTCCTCGGCACCGCGATGTCCGCGCGACAGATTTCAAGAACGGAAACAAGTTCCTCAACTACTAGTAGTATAGCAAGAAGCTACGTAGTTAGTAGCAGCAGTTTCCAGAATCCTCGTCGTCATGCAGCGAGCGTCGCCCTGTAACACTGTTGGAGAGATCTCAATTGGTGACCTCTAGTCCAGTCGGTTGGTAAGGTATGTATAAAAAACCATCGTAGATAGTCGGGGGTAGACTAATATATTCCCTAGAAGTCCAAAGACTATATTTTGACCGGCTGAAGTAAAGGAAGTTCCCTTTCAGGTCCCCTAAAGACCATTCTTTTTATAGTCTTTGACTCCCAGGGTATTGATTTCACTACCCCTATGTTCTTCTCCATGTTGATTCTGGGAATCACCGTGACAGTCAGACGCCGTATAGACCCCCCACATGGTCTTCAGATGTGATACAAAGCTATGATGCAGCCATAGGCCATAGACATTTGGATACTGCATGCTACTCCTCCAAAAAGGGATCCACTGGCACCCGGACCTATGAGGTTTCCGGTGTTGTCTCCACTTCTCACTACGACTGGTGCCCCCAACGTCGGGTACCGAACCGAACCGTCACCAGGTCGCTACCGATTTGTAGATCCCTGGGGACTGGCTAGCATCGGCGTTGGAGGGCCATAAGGATCCGGTGATGGAAGAACGCACGAGAACCCACGTTGGAACGCCCTGCTCAGCCTGCGGCCGTCCCAGGCTGACAGGCCAGACGCATTTTGGGGTAGTTCGCAGATGCTCTGACCCGGAAATGAAGTTTTTGGGTCCCAAAGAATGCTTAGTCCCTCGGCCTCCAGTCGTACCTTCGTTTCGAAGGTGGGACTGGGGTGGGTGCCAGGAGGGTCCAGTCATACCGAACCTGAAGAAGTACGACTGGAGGTGTAGGGAGTATGATGTGCTTGACCACGAATAGACCATCCAATTCAGACCAGAGGCTCTCTCCATGGGTCCAATTCAGCGGGCCGTGGCTGAGAATGTTCCTTTCAGAATCGACATAGGGGAAGACCAACCGAACGAAGTGAGGTCGAACAGAGACCCAAGCGCCCTGCTCATCTTATTCCGAGTCAGGACATCAGATAGCATTCCGAGCTTCGGAAAAGAGGGAACAAAAACTGCACTGTTTGGTATACGGATTTGATGGTAATCCGATTGCAAGGACAGGATGACGGTGTTTCAGGTGAGACTGCAGAGACATGGTGTTTCACTGCGCAAGATGCTCCGAGCAAAGGGAAGCCGGGAGAGAATTTGTCGCGCCGGAGAGCGGGAGTCTGATGGGTGACTGAGATTATGCCCTACGCTTGGAGCAGAGATCCTGTGAAGAACCATTGACTCAGAAGCACTTCAGCTTCTCATTCGGCACTCAGATGTTGCAGGGTGTTTGAGGGTGCAAATCCAATTCATTTTGCTTGCTCCGACTCGTAGGGAAGCTACTTTTGGCTGGTAGGTACCTCCAGAAGCGTGGAGATCTATACAGTCGGTGTCGAATGCTGCGTCGCAGTGGTCGCCGCGGCACGCGGGGAGGGATTGGGTCATTCCGGTCGTCCGACGATGAATCCAAATTTTTGAAGGTTCATCGGGGTAGCAGCGGTTCACGTGGAGCGAGCCTTCGATGGTCCATGTGGGTCAGTGTTGAGCGGAAGCTCACGCTTCCACGTGCGTTTGGGGTTTCGTGGGTGTCGTCGACCTATGCTTCCAACGAAACCCAGCGATCAAATCAAGAAAAGCATGCCAGTTGTCACAACACACGCCGCCTGTTCCGCTGCTCCCACGGACTGAATTCTTTGAGAACTCTTTGTGACCACGGCCTTTTCACTTCCTCAGCGACGCGACGAGAAATATGACGAACCGTCCTGACAGCCTGTCGAAAGTTGTCCAACAATCGATGAACGAAAGTCTCCCGTCAACCCTGGAAGTCCAGCGACATCCAAAGACCATGTTAACATGTTAAAGAAAGATAAAGAAAGCATAGCATGTTCTTATATTATAGATGTCGACCTAGTAAAGATCTAAGCAGCTTCGGTGGTGCGAACAGCATCATCGAACTGGACTTCAGGGTCTGTAGTCTTCGCTGCCGATCCCCAGCAATCAGCGGTTCTTCGCCCGAATTCTTTGCGAACTCTTTGTGCTTCAGGCTGCGGGCCTATCGCAGACCCAAAAAGGCGGCCCAAACAAAACACGCGCTGGAATTGGGACGAGTGGACTGCATGGTTTCGGGTTTGTGCCGTCGGCTGAGAATGGTGTTCTGCGAGCTCAAACTGATACCCATTTGAATTGAGGTAGACTGGCATAGTTGGTCGTTTCAAGCACTCCAACTGATAGGTAACTAGGCCAGTCTCATGGATGGCTTGGGTTTGGACTGAAACGATTGTTGTTGTTGTTGTTTTTTTTTTGTGTGTGTGTGTGTTTTTTTGGAAGGCTTTTTTTCCATCACGCTGCAGCTTTGGAACATGCAACTTTTTTGCACTCGAGCTGACTTTAGCACGATGTTTCTGACATGCGATTTTTGCATGTGAATAGCTGCTGAGCACGTGTGAAGAGGTTTTCCAGTTTCCTGCATTCAATGTGAATTGTCAACCTGTCTAATGGTTCAACAGGGAACCTGAAATCTCAAGAAATCCTCTCATTTGCATGCCGGACTTTCTTTTGTTTGACTGGAAACAAATATAAAGATGTTAAAAGGATCTAGAGTTCGTGAAACAGAAAACGTTGCATGGGACAACTCATAACTCATCGCGATCCGATCAGAAATGGTTTCTTTTGGTCAATTCCTCCAATCACTCCAATCACGGAGAAAAAAAGAAGCCGAGTCGGACTGCAACGCCATGACGAAGATGGAAGAGGAGTTGGACTTGAACTCCGTGAAGAAGTCCTTGAAGGTCTTGAACCAGGACCCATTGGGATGTTGCTTGTGTGTGTGTGCTTTGGCTTGGGTTTGTCCTGCTACCTGCAACAGTCAGTACACAATTATCACATCACTGTTTTTGAACAAGGCCTTTGCTAACCATCATCATCCATACTTACTGGTAATACGCATAGGATAGACCCAAGTTTGGGTATTGTATTGATCAAAGCCAGAGAACAGCGGCACAGTTGGGTGCCGCTCGAGACAGTTCGTGGCACGGTTCACCAGCGATGTGAAATGATGTCCAAAACAGTTTCTGGGCCATTTTCCCAACCCAACTGGCCGTCCATCCACCTATCAATCGATCAATCCAACCATGCGTCCATCCACCTACCCACTTGTTTTTCACAGAATCGACTCGCTTGAGTGACTTCGAGTCTTCACTGGTCGCTTTCGTCTTAACTCGATCGAGTTGAGGCCGTTGAGGCCGGAGTTGGAGGGATTCCTGGGGCGGCGAAGTATGCCGGGGTGTTGTTGTTTGCTTTTTCCGCTGCCTAACAAACAAGGATTTTTTTGGAGATGTTTGGCATATGTTGACCATTTTTTGACGTTGTTTGGGCAAGTCCTCCTGAGAAGGTGTTTTGGACCATCCAAACCAAGATTGAACTGTCGAACACATCACCCTCTCAGTATGTGGATCCCTACCAGGACGCCTCAGGTCACCATTGGAAGTCTGCAAGAATCAGGCTCCAGGTCTCCAGGCCCAGTGCATCCCAGTTACCACTATATAAGGAACCAGGGGTTCGTTCGGTCTGTGGTTTTAGTCTTTGGAACCACTGGTTACCAGCGACATCGTGGTTTGCCTGGATGCCTGTCTGGGAGGCTCATCTGCAGGCCTCCGGAGGCTCGGGCGCCCTTTTCAGGGACGTTTCGTTCCGGAGGACGGTCTCGCTGTCATTCGCTGGCTCAGGAGGTGGAGACCTCCCGCCAAGAGGTCCTACGTGCACTGCCACTCGATCGACACGCCAGCCGGGGGTGAGTCGTTTGACTTGTCGATACAAAGGTCTCCCTGCAAGTATGCACCAAGCCTCAGGATCAATATCTCGCGTCCGGTGGAAACCACCAAGTTGAGAAACATCCACAGCGAGAGGTGTTCAGCTTAAAAATAACTATAGTTGTTGTTGGCCATTGAGGCCAATCTAGACATTTGTGAGCCTCCAAAAAGTCGGGAGTGGGCCTTGGAGTGGGGTTGGTTTATGCATCTCAGCAAATAGAACAGCTTCCCAAGGGTAGATAGCTTCACCGTGCCCGATCGACTTGCAGCCCGCTCGGGTCGCAGAGCGTGGCGCTTCGCCGAGGCAGTCCAATAGCGCGGACATCGCGACGGCCAGCGGCCAGGCGAAGTTGAAACATGAAGCAGAGCAGTGTGGATATGTGTGGATCAAAATATACCATGCATTTAATCAGAGCAGTTGCGTATGTGATATACTATCCATATGTTTGTCAATCACTACACAATATTAAGTACTGTCAGTATATATAAAAAAAAACAAAAAGCAAGCTTCGACTTGGTTGAGGATGCATAAACAAGAGAGTTTGAGAATTTCCGCTGTTTCATGCGGACACCACATAAAAGCTGGCAAGCAGATGGGAGTGTTTAGAACTACCAAATGGAAGAAGCCTGGACAAAGATGTCCCCTGGCAAGGATTCATCCCCAAGCCTATCCAAACCTCAAACAATGGTTGCGAACCTCAGCTCGATGCCATGACATCAGCAACTCTTGTGTCTCCCAGAATTTGTTGGATCCTGAATTGCATGAATGTACATACTACGGCGTCTTACAGCATCAAAAGGCTGTGGTGAAACGACCACCCCGACTCTTCACTTTCCACCTCCACTCTCCTCCACTCTCCTCCACCCTCCGCATCCTCCACATCTACAGGTGACCCAGTTAACCGAGCTTCTGGATGCTTTGACCAATGAGCTCCAAGACTACCAGTGGCTCCCTGCGGAGCCCATTACGGGCGGTGGTGCCGGTGGCGCTGGCGGCGGCCCTACGCTGCAACTGAGGCCATATCAAGTTCAGGTGCGGTTTGCTGGCTTTGGAGCGAAGTCGGAGTCTGAGCTGGTTCTTTGTCACCAAAATGTGAACATCATCTATACTGTTCTCCCCAGAAATGCAGATTGGAATGGGGCGTGAACCTACCAGGCTTGGTGGTTCGTGCATATCGATATTATCCAGACCATCCAGCTAATTATGATATATCGTAAGGTTAATACCTGGTCCATCAAAATGACCTTTTGACATCCTAATTTGAGGTCACAGAGAGCCTCCCGAGCATCACGAAAAGGAACCCTTAAGGGGTCACTTTGAAGAAGCTGGTACATAGCAGGCGCCATGCAATTGTTGGGCTCCAGGATTCAACTAATCAGTTAAAACCATCCTGCAAGGCGGCGGCGGAGGCCTATGCCACCGGCGAGGCCCAGTTGCGGGCTTCAGAGGCAGCGATGGAGGTGCTCAATGTCATCCTGCCGCTTGGGCTGGCAAATTCAAACTTCCCGCAGTCCGGATGCAGATGAGATGATGGGAAGGGGATGTATGTTTTCATAGGAAGAACACGGCCCAATAAGTCAGTGTTCCATCATTTTTTGAAAGGGGAGCCCGGCATCGTTTTCTTTCTTCGAGGCATACCCGAAGTGTGATTGCAGAGGATTGGGAAGGTATAGGGATAACAAAAGCGATGGTGGTTTGGGGTCGTGTTGTAATTCTGAGCACGACGTCGGGAAAATTGGAGGGACTGTGCAGGATTGCCAGCCCTCAATATAATTCAACTTATCCTTGATGTGTGTTTGTTCCGTTTGATGACAATGAGTGCATTGTATACAATATTATGCAGCAGTCCCCCCCATCCTGCAACAAAGAACAGCAACACATGCTGAAGGTTGATATAGGGTGTGTCCCATTAACAGTCGGTAAATATATCGATCACTTATTTGTTGATATTACGACGGCCTTAGAAAACATAGAAAACCAAGATCATCGACAGCCTGGCTTGCTACTGGAAGACTTGAAAACCAACATGGCTTGCTTGTGCTGACACCGAGAAGCACGTCGGACTCGTTCCTTTCGGAACCAGAAAACCATTCTCCAGAGATCTGGACACGGTGAGGGTCTTGCCGCGGCGGTCTGGCTGCTGAAAACCAGCGGTCTGGCATACCCAAACGGCATACCCAAACACACGCGCTTGCTGGTGGGATTGAAACATACCAGCACCTTCATGTCGGGGTCACCTGGCTGGAAGCCCCTACACTACCTAGGGATCTCCATTGGACACCCCTTTGAAGGTCCAGGTATGTTCTCGTTGATTCCAAGCAAAAATGCAGGTTTCCCCAGCTGCGAGGAACCTTTCTCGTGCTTGGAGGATGACACAATCATCCAAGGTGACCCATCCAAAAAAACTAGAGATTCCCTTCCAAAGATTGGTTGAACACATTCGTTCGAACTGAAGTCTTTCGCGCCACCTCATGCCAATTTTGTAATTCTTGTTGTACAGTGTTGTATTGGGCCACACGCGTAAGCTGAATAGTCGTCCTCGGCCATAAATCGTGGCTGACTAAGATGGAAAGCGGAAAAACATCGACTGTTAAGTGTTACTGTTAATGGGATATACCCAAGGCAGGGTTTAAATTGCTTCTTTTACTGCCAATTATTGGTGAATGCTTCGGAAGCTGGTTTGTTCTAGCCATCCATTTTGGTGTGGCTCGGAAGACTTGAGGTGTTGGTCTAAGTTGTTGTTTTTGTTTGTTCTATGTTTTTCTTTTTCCACTGGCGTCTTCACCCTCTGAAGGAGAACCATGCTCATCATAACTAGAATTCTCATGCCCATGGGTGAAATAGTTATGGTGTTGACACATGAAGTCTTCCCAAAAACCTCCAAAAGCTCAAGCACATGCAAGTCGGAAGTCCTGAATCTCCGAAGCCTCGATCTTTTCCCTGTAGAAGTCTTGGAGCAACTCACTGTAGTTAAAAACCGCTGGAAATCACCGTTTGGGCCATTTGCGAAGCGTTTTGAATGACTTCGAGCTCCGTGGTGCAGCAACGTCCAGGCAAGCAGAGCAGCTGCTGTCGGAGCTGCAGACTTCCAGAAGCTTCATGAGTTCCACAGTGCCTGGGATTGGGTGAAGAGACTGCCCAAACCTCCTAAACCCTAAACCCAAACATCCTGGACGATCCAATAATCCAGCCTGGAACCTCCAAAATGACCCCAACCTTGCACGCTTCAAAGCTCGATGAGCTTAGATGGGTTAATTAGATGGGTGATTGTTTCTTGTTCCCTAGATGGGTGAATCCCCTTCTGGAGAATTATTTTTTTGTTGGTCCCCTCTTCCTTAAGCAATTCCAAGGTGTCCACAGTGAGGTTTGAGATGATTGGAGATGACATGAAAGGAGAGGTTTGCCCCAAATCTTCAATGTGGGAAAACTATATGTTAGAGAACTAACATGAACTAACTATGTAGCATTTGTTATTTCTTGTAGAGAATGAATGCAAAACACACATGTTCAGTCATTTTGTGGAGATTGTATTAGATGTTGTTTTTTTCCTTTTCCACTCATGGCAGCTACTAGTAGCTTCTTGTTAGTAGTAATGCCCTCGTTACTTACTATAGTAGCGATGCACTTGTTACTAGTAGCGTTCCACTCATGGCAGCCCATGGCTCCACTCAGGAGCTGCTCCTGCAAGTTTCTGGACTCTTGCAGAGCGTTTCGGCGCCTGAGCGAATGGCCATGGAAGCTCGGCTGAACTCCCACACAACCGAAGGTGCCACCAGCTTGAGCGGTGGATAGAGACGGTCGGTTCATTCTGATCAGAGATCGACAAGGTTTGTACTATGTGGGCTGTTTCTTCGGTAGTGCCTGTGTTTTGCGCATGTTCGACCCGATCTTCGAGGCTGAACAGTCGGGGCCTGACGACCAAACGAGTCTCAGACGACCTAAGGAGCCAGAGATGCTTTGGACGGCCAAGGAAAGATATCGCAAGCAGAGACTTGTCCAACATTGAACATCAAGCTTGCAGGGTTATAGTAGCTGTTCAGCTGGGTGCAGAAGAGATATGTTGCAAAAGTGATGTTTTCCAGGACCCTCCTGTCGGGGTGTCCTGGCTGAACTACCCAACACTACCGGCCGTTCGGCTTCCAGACAGGGCACCCCGACTGGAGGGTCCTGGTTTGTTCACGTTATTTTGCTGAGATACTGTTGACGGGAATGATGAACTCGAAAGACTTCGCTCCAGCGTTGGGAGGATGGCAGAGGCAACCCATTTGGCCTGAGATGTTGTGGATGTTTTTGGTTTTTTAATCAAACATAAATTCAAAGCAACTGATGGACACGTTGTCACAAGGCTGAAATGCAAGAGGCAGCCAAAATACGAATAGAGGAGTGGATTCTCATGGCTCTCAAGTGCTGTTCTGGTGTTCTGGACTTGTTGTTGATGTTTTTTTACATCATTGACCCTCTATGCAACAGACACGGAAGTGGACAATGATCTCTTGGAAGACGATTTCCGGTCGATCAAAAAAAGAGCGGCAAAAACGCAGAAAGAGTGTGCGGTTTACAAAAACAACCAAGAAGCATTTGGGTCGCAAAGAATTCACGTTTTTTGACCCAAGGGCTTTTGGAGAAGATATTTTTTGCGCTGGCAACCGGTTGGAAGATGTTTGAAGAGCCAAGACCAAAATATTGTCATATTTGGGGGTCCAAAAACACTTGGACCAGGAATGCACATCTGCTGACCAGGTCACTTCAATAGAAATGAAGGGTTTTTACTCAAAGGCTGGATTTCAATGAAACAGTTTGTGTGAAGATGTTTTTACATGGAGGGGCAATCGAATTGCGAGCATCTTAGGTTTTGCTTGGCCATTGGTTTTATCGCTCTTGTTTCGCAGTGTTCGATCAACTGCACCAAGGAGACTGGCATTGCTGACGTCCTTGGATGACGCTTTGCAATGGTTACATAGTTTCACGCCCTCACACCCGATAAAGGGCTCAACCCCCCACTTATAAAGCTTACCCTAGAAGTCCAAAGACTATATTTTGACCGGCTGAAGTAAAGGAAGTTCCCTTTCAGGTCCCCTAAAGACCATTCTTTTTATAGTCTTTGACTCCCAGGGCTTAGTAACTTAGCTAACCCTATCAACTACCGTGAAGATACGAGAGATGATCGGATCGGCCATCGTGCGCCGGTCGCGATGGCCGTTTTTTCGAGACGTGGTCGGGTCATCGGCGGCGTCGCGTCCGGTACGTCGGTCGGTGAAGGGGAAACGACCTCTCTGGGACTGCGTCGGACTGCCGAGAGGCCAGGGGTTCTTGGGTTTGGGGGGTCAATGTATGCAGTCCTATGGCAGTCCCATGGAGTGTTTGGGTACTATACCAGGGCCGACTAGACCGAACTTGATATCCGAGGTCACGAACAGGCCAGTAAAAGGTCACTTAGAGACTCCAAAGGGGTTACGGACTGGAGGTCCTGGTAGTGATGCCCTTGTTACCCTATGTGCTTCAGACCATTGCTTTCGACCACCTTCTCAGCACAAGACTTGCCTCCTTTCGACCCGCTGTGCCCGGGCCAAAAGCGACGCAAACAGCTGCAGGATGCCTTCAGCAAACATCTACACTTCACTTCGGGCGCACTTCAAGTGAGACCTGCAGAGCTCCCGGAGCTCTGGCGTTGCCTCGGCCTTTTGGGTGTCCAGAGAACGCGCATTGAGCAGCTGGCGGAGGATCCTTAGATGAATTGATCACTGGGATCATCGATTCGTCACCTGCACTATACGGACCACCTCAGTCCCGAACGGATGATCCGAACGGCCGAGGTGGGAGAAGCCGCCGATCGACTGCCGCGGAAGGACATTCGTAGAGGATGGGGTTCCCAGGATCCACTCAAGGCATCGGACTCGAGGCATCTGAAGAACCACGAACATCGAACATCACGCTAGGCGTTGTTTTGCTCAAAGTGTTTACACGTGTGGAGCATGTCAACCTGTCAACCATATAATTAGTGGTTTAGCGGGCATTCGATGTCTCCTTGAGGATGGCAAAGAAACTCACAACAAAGGTAAGGTTGAGAAAACAGAAATCACAATGCACCTGGATGATCTTTTTTCCATTTGCTCAGAGCCTTGGAAGGGGTATGTCATGTATCTCACCCGCCTCGCCCACATCCTCACCCGCATCCTCCACATCGGGAGGGCGATGCACCATGCACCATCATGCACTTGACACGGGCTCGCAGGACGTGTCCGAGCCGTTTTCTTAGTTCAATGTCACCCAGCTTCTTCAAAGTGACCTCTTAAGGGTTCCTTTCGTGACCCTCGGGAGGCTTAAAAGTGACCTCTAAGTATAGGATAGCAAGTCGGTCACGAACGGAAGAACCCCGGACTGCTGACATATTCCAGGATCATCGTACAGTGATTTCAGAGCGTCGACTTTTTGTTAAACCACCTCAGCTTACTCAGGAGGTATTGAAGCAGCTCAATGGCATGGTGATAGCTCGTCACCTGGTCTTGGAAATCACCACCGCGGGTCACACCACCACCTTCCGACGCTTGGAGAGAGAAGGAGACGTCTCCTGTGACACAGTTGCGGAGCCTCAAAACCGTGAAGGACACAGGATACAGATGATTTTGGACCAGGCATCCATAGACATCCCAAAGGACTAAGAACTTGAAGGCCACTCCAAACATGCTTCGGTGGGCAGACCCAGTTTGTTAAAAAAAAAGACAAGATGTGTTTCAGGCCCTTTGTTCTTCCACTGCACAGATTTAGCAAGAGGCAGAAAGTCATGCCCTTCCCCGCTTTTTCCTGTTTTTTCCTGAGTGAGACCTCCCGAGAAGTCACATTCTTTGGAGAAATCCATCCACACCTACGGCGCTATTTGTGTTTCCGTGTGACAGGACACTATCTATGCTTGCATCCCTAGGCCAAGCATCCGGCCGGTGAAAGGGGTACTTTCCTCCCTTGGAACCGAGGTTGGCGCGCTGCTCGTGGCAGCGCGGTGGGGGACGACACCAACACCTTTCCGCCGTTGGCAGCGGTGGGGAAGTTCTTGAGCTTCCTGGGGCAGTGAACTTGGCTCAATAGCGATGGCCTCCACCCTACTAGCGATGGCCTCCAGACTCCATACTGTTGATGGACGAAATCCTGCACCACCTCACCACTTTACCCTGGAAGGGTCGCGTAGCAACCCCTGCGCCCCCTCATTCAATGTTGGCGCGACGCCTCTGAGGAGGTGGTGCAGGATTTTGGACCTTCAACTTGTTTTATAACGAGGGAGAACGAGGGCAGCAAGAAAAACTATGAGCAAAGTGGTACCGGATTTTGTCCATCAACAGTACTTAGATCATCTTAGATCTTGACCATGCCTCTCTTGTGGTATGTACTGGTAGTTCGTTGGGTGCACAACGAGCAGTCATCACACCTCTTGTGGTTACATAGGAGGTGGTTACATAAGAGAGAAGCTGTGAGATGTAACATGCAGTTCCGTGTTTGTTTGGATATATCTATCTACACGCAGCCGAGGTCTTGCACGGGTGAAGCAGAGGTCTACCAAGTCTTAGGCTTCAGTCTGTATCCCCGCCTGGTGAAATTACTGAGCCGTCCCTCGGCGAGCGATGAGCAGTCGGACCTGGGACCTGGTCAGATGAGGCGGTGCTTTTGGGTGTTGATACGCCGCGGGGTCAGAGACCCACAGACGAACCTGAAAACCACGTCGGGTTGTGGAACATCGTCAGAACAGTCTGGTCCCATGCCATCAGCTTCCATGCTAATCTTCCGGGGTGCAGGCTTATTCAACACACAGCGTTCTGGTAGCCGCTACCAAGACATTCTGGCAGATTTGACTGCGGACCTTGAAACAACTTCTGTTCAGATGATGTGTGATGATATGTGCATAAACAAATCAAACAAATTGATCAATGCTTGCCATATCGTGCACGGACAAATTCTTTCTCCACAAATTAGTTGGAACTGATCATGTCACAGTGAAGAGACCACTAGAATCTTAAGGTGGTATCAATCTGCTTGCAAATATCAAAGTCATTAGCTACCCAAAGCATCCAACAAGTGAAATAGGTTCTTCCGTTCATGACCGAACTTGATATCGTTGATATCTTATCCTTAGAGGTCACTTTTGAGCCTCCCCGAGGGTCACGAAAAGGAGCCCTTCAAGGGTCGAAGAAGCTGGTGGAAGCTGCAACGATGTCTGTGAATCCATGTAACGATGTCTCAACCGATGCCAGTGACGTGCCCTGTCTTGCTGCGGTTGGGTGCGCCAAGCGCGGAGCAAGGTCATTTGGAGATCCAAGAAGCAGAGGCCATGGGCTTTGAGTGGCATGGCACAGATGGCATCACCGATCAGTCTCAGAGACGTTTGTGTTGCAGCATTCCCCTGGACAGTGGTGAAGATGACCAGCAAAAGGGGGAATCCATGCGATGACGTCGGGACTGCGGGCTTGATATTGGTGAACGTTATAGGGCTTTGGTGCCGTTTTCAAAGTTCCTTCTCCAAAGGCACATAAATGCACCCGGGAGAAATGGAACCTGAAAATGGACCTTTGGAAGACGACGATGTTCCTGTTACAAGCCGACGTGGTTGTCAGGTTGTGTTCTCTTGTACTGCTCTTCTGCAAGATGAGTACCAAACTCAACACTCTTGAGTCCCAGGACGGGTCTTAGATATTTTCCTCACATGAAACCCTTCCACTTGCTGCCAGACAGTGCATTTGGGGCCCAGAGCAAATGCTGCAATTGTAAGGGTCCAAAAGTGCTCATCAGTGCATGCATCTCATCAGCGATTCGATTCGAGCTTACTCCCCTTCAAGCTGGTCGCATGCATTCTCACTGAGCTTGAGTGCTTCTCCTGCTGACCACTCGTTTTTGTGGACACCCCTTTGTCAGTATCGCTGGAAAAGACTGGCTAACCAAATGAATCCGAAGGATATGATGTTTTGATGTTGCTCTAGGCAAGGTCGACTGATCAAGCAACGGACACAGCAACTGGGCTAGAGGATCCCGTCATCACCAAATCCTCTCCCGTCATCCAAATCCTCTCCCGAGCTTTCCCCTCGGGGAGCTCCGTTTGTTGGCGAAAGCTTACCTAGCGCTTCCAATGGGTGTCCAATGATCTATCAGCAGTGAAGGGTTGTCCAACCAGGTAACCCCGAACGGAAGCAGGTCAGAATCTCTGGAGTCTGCACTTTGCTTCCCACTTGCCTCAGGAAACACTTGAGCTCCGAAGGCGGGACCGAACTCCGTGACCAGCGTGAACCCCCCAAAGACCCACCGCAGAAAGCCGAAGAAGCCGACTCTGCCGTCCTGCCGTCCTGTTCTGCAGAAAAGAGGTGTTTCACTCCAAGCAGTTGTGTCAGATTCTGCACATGTCCGATTTTGTTCTGCACATGTCAGATTTGCTTTTTCCACCATTTCACATCACCTTCGTCAAACATCAAACCACCCCGCTCGACAGGGAGGTGGCTGGATTCCAAATCCAGAGAAATCCGGTACATTCTCCTTATGCCCATTGATGCACTTTGTTTGAATGGCCTTGTCTCAAAACATCTGAAACCGGCAACCCTCCCCCACTGAACATAAGTAGGCTGAACATCCGAATCGAATTTCACACTTAGGAACCCCCCACTGATGATTTTAGAGAGGTCCTACACTTGATCCACTTGATCCATTGAACATCCCAAGAAGTGGCGTCCTCCCATGGCGCATCGCTGCTTCAGCCGTGCGAGGCTTCATTTCTCCGAAGGAGAGCAGCTTGTCGCGCTGGGCGCAGCAACGACACCAGGCCCATCGAGAAAGGGGACTGGAAGAACTCAAGGAGCCAGCCCTGACCCCTTCCGAAGACATGAAGATCATGAAGGTGTTTCTCCACGCAAACAGAAAGGGCTTTATACAGTCGGATGAAGGCCATGGATGCAGTAGTCAGGGGTTCCTGAGTCCTTGGAGTGATTGTGGGCCGACCCAAATCTTGCAGATTCAGATAGATTCAGCGAACAAACGTGTGCTTCCTTCCATAAGAATCGCAATGCGCAGCACAAAGAGAACATGTTTGGAAGAATACGCAAAAAAACAATGGGCAATCGAACATGGATGATGTTAATTTTGCAATCGGCCGAGACAACCATGGTCAAGGGTGCCTCCAGGTGCACCTGCCCAAAGATGGAAGATCTTGACATTCTCACAGAGGAAGAAGATGATCTCGAGATGCTGATGGGGACAAATATTAAATTATGATCATGCTTTGTACTGTAGCAGTTCGTCCTGCTTAAAAAAGCGCAAACTGAACCGTTCGGGCGCGTTGCCATGTTGATCAAAGCACGGTGATCGTGTTTGTTCGCTTTGATCAACATGGCAAACATGGCAAACCTTCAGAATGCCCATTCCGTTGAATTCGACAGAGGCAGACTCTGTGGCGTACTACGCCACCCGCGGGCCCCGCGGGCCCGCCCGGGCGGTTTCCCTTGAACGGGCCGGAGCCATGACCCTGCCGGTGCGTGGGTGAATCCCCTGGGAAGGTGAGAAGGTGATGCGATTCTGCCCGGCGTTCATCGTCCCAAATCCATGAATTACATGGGAAGTGCTGTTGAAATCCTAATGTTCATCGTTTTTAGCTGGTCCAATCCAAGTAACTCTTGATGAGCGCATGTGAACGGATCGATCGATGAGGGGCACAGACGATTCCACGTTACAAGAGGGTTAGTTTCACTACATGAAATTACAGCACATGCATATGGAGTCATGCAGTGTCCAGTGTGACCAGTCATGTCGCAGCTGGCATGTTTTCGAATTTCGAACGAGAACCTCTTGTTCTGAACCAGTCAAACGTTTGACTCTATCAAAACCAAGACGAAACCAGTCAAACGTCCGGACGTTCCAAACCTTGGACCCTCTATCGTCGCCGACCGCAGGCGCAGAAGCAAGGACCACAACGGCTCACCCAAGCCCGGCGTTGGATCCTCGACGAGGTGCGCGCCACGCCCGGACGAGCCCGGACGAACGGGGTGAATCCCTTCGAAGCGAAAACGGGGATGCCGTAAAAGAGGCACCGGCACGGTGTGGACCGGCACCGCTGTTGAGGGTGTTTTTGGTTTAACCATGTTTCAACCGTGTTGAACAGCGGATCGGTAGGTATATAGGTAATAGATTGGTAATAGATGGTAATAGTTGGCTTCCGCGAGTCTGAGCGCTGTTCGTTTCCATGCCATGTGAGTCTGAACAGAACACGGGAGATCAGCGGTAAGCCATGTGATTTAGTTGAGATTGGTAAGACATTCCCAAGAACATCACGCAGGAGACCCCACAGACTTCCGAGAAAGTCTGTGTTTTCGACGCATCAGAGACATGTATTAAAAGCATCAGAGGGTTTTTAGTGGTTTTTGGATGTTTTTAGGTAAGTCAGATCGCCTGGATACTGCGGGCAAATTATTGGAGGCGTTAAAACCTTGGCAACAGAAATGCACGTCCTTGTCAACACATGTGTTCCACCAATCACTGATTCCGCCTCTCCTTGCTTTGCGCGGCTCACATCTTCGTGTACCCAGGCAGAAGATCGAGTGCTGCCGGGCCTGTTTTCCACGTCGATCGTCGAGCGGCGGAAAGAACGGAGGTCTCCCTTTCGGGTTTCGGGGTGCGGAACATGTGGATGGAAAGGAAGGAACGAAAACTGAACAACGACCCTCCAAGTTCACGCCCCCAGCTTCTGAACAAAGGTGACCTTAACAAAAACGCTTCCTTTTCGTATGCCTGGGAGGCTCTCTGTGACCTCAAAGGAGGAGATCAAAAGGTCAGATTCAAGAAACAGGTAGCGTGCAACAAATATTCTTAAGCTCCTCAGTTCCTGGAAGGTTTCTGGATAGAGGGCATCCTCGTCCAAAGCAGCTTTTGCAGCCATGTTTCTTCAGCCATGCTGGACAGTTTGCCGGTGTTTCTCCCTTGGATCGCTTCTTACATGGAGAAGAAGTAAAGGAGCGGGACTCTATGTCAGACACTCAGAACACTCCTGAGCACTTGCACTCCCGACCGAGACGTGTTGCTGCACAGCAAGGAGTTCGTCTAAACCACCGAGGGACTTTTTTTAAAGACGGCCCACCTAAACCTACCTGAGAATCCTGAGAAACTGAGATGGAGATCTGAATTCGTTGTATCGAATTTCCAGCATCTGAAGAAACATCGACACCAACCGTTTACCTACTCAATTCTTCTCAATTGTTCTTCTCAGTTCTGAGATGGAAGATGTAGACTCAAGACTCTGCAGTAATCTCAAGTCGGAACACCGGGCCGGGATCCGACGGGCCCGGCCCTCTTCGAAACAAACATGCCACATATAGTTTTTGAGCTTAATTAGACCTTTAGGTACCTATATGTCATGTATAATCATGTATAGTTACATGTATAGGAATTAATATATACATTGTTACCTATATACCTGTGTTGTTCCTTTAATCCGTTAGACCTTATGTTTTTTCTTGTATTGGACATGGAAGATGGAACTCCCACTGGTCTTGGCAGGTCCTTGTTCAGCTGCACTCAACCAAGCGAGGGCACTTCTCAATGAAGGCGATGCGACGATGAGTCCATGGAATTTGGCGCTCAAACAGATGTGCAGAAGCGCTCAAAGAGTTCTCAACACAAGTCAATGGCTACCTCCCAGGCCGGTTCCCTCCCAAAAACGCCGATTTTTTGCTTAGTCAATCCATGTAAAAAAACCATTGCCCCCGGGTGCCTTTTCCGAAATAACCATGCCTGCAATGCCTGGGCATGCCTGGAGGCTACTGGCACCTCTAAGCTGCATGAAGCGTAAACAAAAAGCCCTGCAAGACAATCGCAGTCCCACAATCCAACCCTACAAGTCCAAAGACCCAGTAAAACCCGGTCTTTTACATCCTTAAGTATTATGTGACCACGTGCAGTCAAATTGAGGTGACCTGTAGGGCCAATTCCCGGTCTTTTGAAGCCCAGCGACCTGAGGGCTGAAGCTGGTCAAAGCCGTCGAAGAGTGCACTCCGACCACGAGCAACTCAAAACGACACCATTGGATGAAGAGCTTCGATGGTTTTTGTTCGGGACGCTCTACAGTATGGGAACCATTGGGAACCCAAAGAACCAGAAAGACATCATCACAAATCAATTGAGATCCTGAAGTGTAGGAAATGGCTGTTTGGGGAAACATCCATTTCTTTCTGGTGGTTTGGGGTTCCAGGCAGGAGGATTAACATGGAACCTGATGGCATGGGCCTTTGGCAGAAGATGTTCCACAACCCGACGTGGTTTTCAGGTTCTATGCATGGGTCTCTTCCAGGGCGTATCTCTCACGAAATGGGCATGTGGATCCTCAACACGTGTAGCTGTAGCTGCTTTCAGTTCGATCAGGCCGGCGGAACGTGCCAGGCATGGTCCATTGGGTTTCCCCAAGCATCGATCAGCTGAAAACAGAAGGAACTGATTGCGATCATTGAGTTCAGAACGTTTCTCGGAAAACTTCTGATAGTATCACAATACAGCCCAGTGAAACACGGTGTGTTCCTTTGAACCTCCCAATGTTTGCGCCATGGCCATGGTGGGTAGCTGTGGCAATGCATGCAACTCGTGGTCACTTTGTGGAAAGTGGGGACCACTACCTAGAGCGCGGCCAGGTCAGTTGTGTGTGTGTGTTTATGTTTTTCCATTGCCTCAATCCTTTAGATTGGTTGAGAAATAGGGGACCATTTAGGGAAATAGGGGACCCCTCCAATTCCCTCTTGTTCCACTTTGCAAGAAAACACATCCTGTGCCAGGTGTGTGCCAAGAACCAACGTCGAATTGTACCCGAAAAGAATTCCTGGAGAGCCTAGATCTCTTACCTCTTGAAGAGCAAAGCACACCACTCTGGCTCTATTTTTCAGGTGATTCAACAGGCCGTCAGCTGTGCGTTGCCTTTATGAAGCATGTGGCAGGGATCAACCTTGGCACTTTTACAGAGGCCAAGAACAAAGTCGCCAAGTGCGACAAAACGCCACAACCAGATGAGGCTTTCAAGAGATTTGTGAATGCACACGCGTGGCAAATAACCAAGTCCAACATCGATTGGAACAAAAGTCAGGTCAATTGCAATTGGAACGCAACCTTCGGCCAGAGACCAGTGCGCTTCACCCTCGACTGGCGTCGCTTCGTCAATGACCCGACAAATGATTTACATTTGCTGGAAGCAGTGGCAGAAGCAGGAAGATGGCCTACAGCTTGGGTGGTGACTTCTGGTGTGCATGATTGCGCCTATTTGCGCCGGAATGTGACGTGGCAAAGGTCCTCCGTGCATCGCTTCTTCCGATTCTTAAACCAGCACCCCATCCTGAAGAGCCGCACGGTGATCGTGGGAATGGAGTACATGATGGACTCCAGAGAGCTCCCAACGGGAGAGTTCAGCAACTACAGCACGTCCGAGTTGACGGTGCACAACTGTTCAAGGAGACTTCACCAGTTGATGCTGTCAGGGGCCCGAGAACATGGAGTTTATATGATCCCACGTTGGCAAGTGACACGGGACTATTATCAGAGACACAAAGATGATATCATACATTATCCGGAGTCGGTCATTCTAAATGAATTACCATCACTGCTCACTGGTCTTTCCTGCGTGGCCAAAAGCAGGCAACGGCACCGGCAAGATGTTGCGACCTCGTCCTTGAGTACTGCGCCACCACACGAGATCGTGCTGCTTTTGCACTTCATGATGAGTGTCGGAGCAGTGATCGCTGCCAAGCTGGTCTTCCGACACCGCGGAAGGTTTCAGCAGAAAGGAGTTCGGGGAGTGGAAGACACTGAAACTCCCCGTGCTGAGGTTGAAGACGCCCATTTTAACGAAAAAGGCAGTCAGTCAGTCAGTCGTTGAAATAGAACCATTTGAAACAGAAGCGTTTGGTCCGATTTACACATGTCACATGATTTCACCTTGACGCCCTGTCGAAGAAGCGCATTTTGTCTAAGAAGTTGACGCGTACTGTCGTGTGGAGACGGTCTTTTGCCGGAGGACTTGCAGGAACTTGCTACATTATATGTTACAAGTTATAAGTTATACATTATAAGTTACATTATACCAGGAGTCACAAAGGGGTGTCCAATGAAGTACCCCACTACTTGTTTTTTAAGTTATAAGTTATACATTATAAGTTACATGATAAGAACTTGCACGTTATACATTATATGGACTCGTGGATAGATGAAGACTCATCTCAGGTGTCTAAGACGCCCTCTCTTTGACCGCTGTGACTTCTCTGGCGAAGTTGGCGCCAACAATTTGTGCATGTAGTAACAAGAAGAAGCTACTAGGAGCAAGGGCATCGCTACTATAGTAGCAAAGGGCATCGCTACGAACGGAGCAAGAAGCTACGAGCGGGGCGCTCCTGGCATGACTACTAGTGACAAGGACGCTCAATTTGGGCAATCCCAGACCCAATACTTCCTGAAGTCCAGCGCAGTACAGCACGCCATACCTCGACCTGATTCTGAGCGGGCTTTCCCCGAACGTGGCGGTCGAGTCGGGGGTTTGGTGTTTCGCCGGACGTGCCAAACGTGCCCGTGGCGGTCGCCATACTTGTTGGGGAGTGCAATGTATTCACAGATCCGTCAAGGAAGTGGGAAAACAAGTCCTGAGATGTGTCCGCCTAGCAAATCCATCCCAGATGTGTCCACCTGAGCTTGCTTTCAGCACAGCGCAAAGCTGCAAAGCTGTGCTCTGCGTTGTTCGCGGCTTTTCCGCAGCGGTGGAGCTGGAATGGCTGCTGCTGCTGCTGCTGCTGCTGGTGAAGTATGTAGGTTCACCATTTGCCAAAGAGTTGATATGTTGGCCAATCTTTGTCCCCAATCCAATAAGCCAACCAGGTCTGAAACCGGGCCTCATGCGCAGTCTCCAACAAGGAAGCATGGACGCGCCTCTCCGCGCGGGTTCTCTCGGTGTCCGCTCGGTGTTTGGCCTGCAGGTCTCTTGTGCGGCCGACAGACTAGCGAGGCACGGTGTTGATGGGCGGAGAGTCAAGTCAACACTCGCCATTAAGTTGGAGGCCATTGCTATTAGGCTGGAGGCCATCGCTATTGGAGTCCATCGCTATTATGTTGGAGGCTCACGCTAATCAGGTTGGAGGCCATCGCTATTAGGTTGGAGGCTCACGCTAATCAGGTTGGAGGCCATCGCTATTAGGTTGGAGGCCATCGCCATTAGGTTTGAGGCCAATTGCTAGTAGGTTGGAGGCCATCGCTACTAGGTAATTACGGATCTTGGAACTTGACATCATGGTCTCTGCACTTGGCTGTCGAAAGTTTGGTCCAAAGTATCGTTGTTTTGTTGATGGCCCTGTCCAATCACCCAACAATCGGTGAGAGTGATGTGGCTTCCGCTGCCAAGCTCGTGTCTCGAAACTGTTAGGATAAATATACTAATATACATGAACCAATTCCCAAACAGAGCCTTCTATATATCTTTTGTAGATCAAAAGTTAAAAGCTCCAATCTTAGTGCTTTCTAATCACTGCCGGTCAGCCTGACGGTCGCCTCAGTCTCTTGCGCTTGGTTTAAGCCCCTGGCTGTTCTCAGCTTGTTGCTCCCCTGAAGACGTGACTGGGGCAACGCAGCACCCCCCGGTTGCTTCGGGTCCACCAGACCAAAGCTTTGTGTTGGCTCACCAACCCACCCTTGCACGCGCCAAACGCACGCGCCGAGTCAACTCGGTGGGTTGGCAGGTGGGTCGGTCGGGAAGGGCTGCTGCGCCAGGACTTTCGATGAGGTCGTCCAGTCTCAGCAGCAGGAGCCACGAGTCGAGTCAGGCGGACGACGAGTCAGTCAGCTTTATCAAGAGGGCGACGTTGAAGGATTGGGAGATGACGTTGGTCAAGAAGAAGACCATCAAATTAACTCTAGAACGTAATGACTGTTTTAAGGGACCTAAAATAAGGTATTCCTTCCGAGGGATCGACACAGCTTGAATGAAGATACTGTTGATACTGTTGGATCAAGTGCGCAGACCACTCCAACTGTGGCACTCATGCACCACTACCGGTCTTTGGTGATATGCTCGACCAGAATTGACATATAGGGCCCCTATAGAGGCTTAATATATATATATATATATGTAATACTCATACTCTTTGACTAACAGAAGACCTTTCAAGGTCTAACCATACGAACCACCAAACATCCAAGCAGGGCCCAGTACGAGGCCCGCAGGTCCCGCTGGTCGCCCCCTTTCTCCTCCGGTTCCGCCCAGGAGGCTCGAAGCTTGCTGGGTCGGATGTGTCACTTATTCGCGATCCTCAGGCGACCGAGACGTCGGCCGATGAGACGAGAGACGGCCACGGCGAAGAGGGGCGGAGTTGTCTCGTGCCCTTTTGAGGGACATGTGTGAAAGAGGCGCTTTTCTGAGCAGGTGTATGAACAGTCAACATTATGTCAACATTCTAGAATCTTGGGTCCAAAGGTGTTTTTGAACCATCCAATGTGCAGTGAAAAAGTCCCTCAGGTGCAGCAAATAGAGGGGTGAGTCAATAGCAAACCATGTTGAAGGAAGGGGAAGATCCCAGTGTTCATTCTTCAACTTCAACCTTTTTCTCCCAAGTATTCTGTTTCTCCCTATCCAAACAGTGCGTTCAGACCATCCAGTCCGGCCCTTGTCCAATCAGGATATTCGGGCTCGTGTGTGTGTGTGTGTGTGTGTGTGTGTGTGTCAAACCCTGTTTCCAAGGTTTTAATTTAACTTGAAGCAGGGGGACAGAGCTCTCTGATGCTACTCTGTCCAACGAAGCTATGCATCAGAGAGGGAAGCATCCGCTGGCCATGGATGTGTACCTGCTGAACGATTTCAAGCTGTGACTCCACTCTTCGCTTTTTTTGGTTCATGTTCCTTCACGTTTCCACCCCCAAACCTGTTTTTTGGAGCTGAGTTGTGCCGCTCGTTTTGCCACCGCTGAGGTTTGCAGTCAAGGGAAACAGCCTTTGTTAAAACACCTACAATTCCTTGGACTTTTCGCCATACTGTTCCATCGCCATTTTTCCCATCGTGGTAATTGAGTTAACTGAAAACCAGTGTCAGAGTGTGAGCCGCTCAGTCTTCTCACTTGGGTGCTGGGTGTGACCCTCCGAAAGGAGGCGCCGTAACCATTCTGGAATGCACAGGGCTTCGTTTTTATTTCTGATTCCTTGTTGTTCACTTCCATAACTGAATTAACGGAGTTTCGAGCCGCCGGGCTATAAACGATGGAATTCCTCTTTTGGCAGACAGAATCCAGAGCCGCCGGGCTATAAAACGGTACTCCACCCGCAATCAGGCAGGTTTCCCAACCCCCCCCCAGCCGAGTTCTACTCCCCACCTAATTAGGGCAACATAGGGAAATGGTACTCGACACACTTGTGTGTCGGTGCCTTTCCCTGTGTTGTTCCTGTTCTAGTCTTCTCTACCCGGGCGGTTT